CCAGGGCTGAGGAGAGGGGCAGGATCACCTCCCTCGACCTGCTGGCAACACTCTGCCTAATGCACCCCAGGATCCCGTTGGCCTTCTTGGCCACGAGGGCACACTGCTGGCTCATGTTTAACTTGTTGTCCACCAGCACTCCCAGGTCCTTCTCGGCAGAGCTGCTTTCCAGCAGGCCAACCCCCAGCCTGTCCTGCTGCATGGGGGTTATTCCTGCCTAGGTGCAGGACCTTGCACTTGCCTTTGTTGAACTTCATGAGGTTCCTCTCCGCCCAGCTCTCCAGCCTGTCCAGGTCCCTCAGAATGGCAGCACAGCCTTCTGGTGTGTCAGCCACTCCCTCCAGTTTAGTATCATCAGAATTTAGCATCATCAGCAATTCCTTATCATTACAATATTATGCAGGTCTCCACTGACCGATTCTGGGGATAACAGGTCCAGGGGGACCCTGCTTTCTACTGCGAGAATTGGGCCTCCACTCCCATCAAGACAAGGATCTCCCCTGTTATTTCCCAACATCTTTGCCAGGGATCTTGTAAAGTTTGTTTTGTTAGCAAATTGCTCTTATCCATGTATTCATTGACTCTCCCAAAGTATTCTAGCAGACCTGGAAACATTAGTTCACTTGGTGAAAGCCACAGTGGTTCTTTTCCATTCTGTCATATTTATACAACTTCCTATTAGTTCTGCTCCTCGCTTTTTCTTCCAGATAGGCTAATAAGAAAATTAAACTTACTGATTACACTTTCCCTGGTCCCATCATGCCCTTTTTCAAAATCAGTTTTACATTTACCATACTGCGGCTGATTTAAGCAAAGGTTACATACCACAGAAAGCCATCCAGCAATTTCTTATCTGAGCTGCTTTAAAAGTGATGGGGAATACCATTTGGTCCTATCTATTATTTTCTTTTCACTTTACAAATTTGATCTAAAACTTCTTTGTGTGATAGTCACGCACACTGACAAGCACAGAATGGCCTTAAACTTCCTAACCTAGGTAACAGTGCAGCAAGGATGCTACTCCATGCAGTTTGGTATGGACAGTCTGCTCTAAGTACCAGCCCAAACCCTCAGAAAGCCTGTGCAATCCGAGATAAAGTCACTGTATCTCCACTGCCTAGCAATACCTAGACAAGCTAGACTAAAGACAATTCACACATTTCTACCCACAATGTTGTTATGCCTCCTGATCACAACACAGAACTCGGGCAGAGAACAGTCTCCAGCCTTCTCCAGAAAAAACTCACACACACACTTCATTATGGATCTGTCAATATTTGGGAAAAAATGAAGTTCACAGTGGGTTGACTCAACCAGTCTGTCTCTGTTGTATTTGCGGGACAGCAGCAGTGCTAGAAACCAATCAGTGAGCACCCAAAAGATGTTTTCCCAATACCTAGGAGATTGAAAAGGATTTAATATCCTTAATAGCTTTACATCAAAGAGGATTATAAGCAGCAATGCAACAAATGCCCAAAGTGGATTGACTTTGTACACAAAGCTTAATTCTCTGGGCCTTCGGGGATTTATTCAGCTGGAGACACCTAGAAACACAGTGATCTTGGAGTTACCATTGCATATTGCCTATTCTTGTCTAATGGGGTATATCCTAAATGGCATGTATATATATGGGCTGATGACAGCCAGCTTAGTGCAAACCTCTATCATAGATGTCCAAGGTCACAATGAGAAAGAAAAAGCTAAAAAGTTCAGTTAAAACGAGAGGACTAGCAGTTCTGAACCAGTGAGGAAGCAGCCCTGTAGAGAGGGCCAACGAGTTAGAGACGAGATAAGAAATTTTGCTCATCATCTCTGCTGTCATTTGCAACTCAGTCAACATAGCTGATCTCTGTGTGCTTTCACTTCCTCAAATATGAATGGCCAGGAATAATTCTTTGCTCATTTGTTTACAGTATGGCCAAAAAAACAAAAAAACAGCAAAAACAAAAAAAAGACAAACTGCAGATCCAAAGTACTAGATACAGAGCATTTGGATACACTGGAAATACTACCTCAAGGACCAGCGTAGACATTTGATACCATTTTACTTTGAGGCAGCAGGGACTGCAGAGAGGACTACAGTAGAACAACCAGTCAGATAAATTTTCACAAATGCATCAGATTCCAGAAGTCCTGGATTAAATAGCAACAGTTCAGTGGGCTAAAACCATCCCAGAGAAACTGCACTGCCTTCATAAATTAACTGGGACCAAGACAGTTGAAACTACTGCACCAGACCTGCTCAGTGGGAGCAAAACGTTCATGTGCAAGGATGGAATTTAAGAACTCTTTACAATATGGCATATCAGGGACACTAAGCCACGTGCAATGTATGCTGGTATACCACAATGAGCCTCAAAAGCATGCAGTAAATTGGCAAGAATAAAAGTTGACTGTGTTTTTGCACTTCTTGTTTACACTCACGTTGCTAACACTGCACAACCATTGCTGCATTGCAGCCAGCTTTGTTTTTGAACCCAACAATAACTGTCCAGTGATAAACTTTATTTTTGATATACACTAATAGCAAATGGCATTTAGAACCAGCTTCTGCCCACTCACCCCTCATTAAATGGTGTCTTCCTACAAAAGGAGTTTCATCTTTTTACAATTCATCTTACTAAGACTTTTCTTCTCCAAGCCCTCTTAGCAAAACTTACTCCAGACATGAACAACAACAATTTAAATCGATCACAATCCACAAGTGCTTCTTAGGGACACGTTCCACAGATCAAAGTAATTCCAATGGGAGGCCATACTATCGTTCCCCTCTAGCCATAAGAGCTGGCAATTGCACTGAAAATATTTAACTTCTTTGTCACCAGAAGAAAAATTCACTTATTTGCTGTTAGTACAGGAAGAAGAGCAAAGATAAGACTCAGGAAACTATCACAAGTAGCGGGATGAGGGAGAATACAGGCATTGCAGCAAGTTCCCCCATACATATCTACGAGACCCCGAGGTTTTCTAGACAACCTGAATCAGTTAATATCAAAGATGATCAGGTTCTGATGAAAACGACATGTCAAGAAAACCCTGCTTTCTGTAAAGCGAGGAGATAATGGTGGACATAACAGAATAGGAACTGGTAAGAGCAGCCCGTGATATATGTCCTGCTGCATTCATTAGAGCAGAGATCAGAACATTCACTTAAGAGCATTTACCTGTGTAGTAACTTCAATGAAGTGAAAACTACCCTTCCTGTGAACAGCTGCTGAGCAGAAACAGTGCCACACTGGGGCTCTGTTATATCTAAGCATTAAGTGCAGATAAACATTTTATTAAAAAGATGTTACATGAATATTATAAACAGAAGGAAGGGACAGAACTAAATCAAAAAGTGTCTATCAAGCTTTAAACTGCTTGAGAATAGTTGAGGGGCTAATTTAGCTTAAAATAAATAAATGTTTCATTAATATGCAACACATATTTCCAAGTACACATCAAAATTCCTAAGAACTATTTATTGTTTGGACAAACTTTAAAAATTAAAACCAAAAAGGGAAAAAAAAACAGAAAAAGAAAACCCACAAGGAGCCCCAAAGCCAGACACAATGGTGGACAGAACCCAAGTACACATGCAGACAGGGTCAGGAAGGGACTGTGCAAAAGCAGCTGTTCACAATACCTAAAAATAGCTTAGCATTCCTCCTTTTTGGTAAAGCGCCACCAGATGCCCCTGGTACCTTCTGGAAAAGAAAAAGAGACAATTAAAAATCCATCAAGTGAAACAAGAGTAAATCAGCCACAACTCCATACCATCACCACTTCTGAAAGGCAAAATGGATCCGTTCATGATCCCGCTATTAAATGACAATCCTTATTGAGAAAGAATGCAAACTCTCTTCATTCACCTCTGATATTGACACTCAACTCATCACTGCTTGCTACCTTTAAGAAGTGAGAAAGTAAGCCACCGCTTGAATCCTTTCACTTTCCTCTACTAGCAATTAGGCATGGCATGTCTAACGGTGACCACGGGTGACTGCTGTCCTGTCATCAAGATGGGACATGGAGCATCACTCAGATCTCCCACCACCAGATGCCTACAGTACTTCTTAAAGACTGAAGTTGGATTAGAGACAGACAAGAGGAAAAAAATCTCCATGAAAGATTCAAGACTCCATAACTCATTTCCAATATGACCAGTTCACTGTGATCCCCGAGCTCAGCTAATTTTCTTCTATCCAGAAAAAAAACTCCCCATCAGTCAGAATCTAAGCCTGCTTCCACTAATATCAATCCAAGTTATCACCATGCTCTGTTAGTACTAGGGAGTATGGAAGAAACCTGACAAAACCCACGCAACAGTTCCAGAAGGTTTTTGTTTGTTTGTTTTAAGTTAAACTACACAGAAAGAGATAGTAACTTCCCAGGCATTCTACTGGCACTCAGTTTCAAGCACCAGTTTCCCAGTTCATCATACCTCAAACTGCTGGGCAAAATGCTAGTAGCTGAGCAAACGTAAAAGCCAATGCGCTCACTACTACATGCTGTCTGTCTAAGCTGTTCATTAACATGTGTCATTAAATCAAAGCACTAAATAAGCCTCTCTAGCTATAACGTCAACATGATTTATTATATAGTGTATAACGTTAGTGTAAGCAGCGAGGTTGTTAGGTGACTTTTTTTTTTTTTTTAAATAAAATTGGGATACAACAGGTGGAGAGACACCAGCCAAGAACCTGTCAACCTAGGGCAAGTTCGCGTTTGCCTCTGCTCCTTGGTAGGTGAAAGGGTCACATATTTTGGGTGGTTCCCTTCACTACGTAAATAACGCTCTGGCAAAGCAAACTGCTTGAATCATCAGTAAGGTCTGGTAGGCCATAGGAAAGTTTTCCATTCTTAGAAAGAGCAGATGCCAGCTAACGCTCCTTGGCTGCACGCTGGAGAACAAAACTTATTATCCATACAGAGGGACCCTATGGAAAGGCAGTCAGGGATGCAATGTCAGCACTAAAAAAATACATCATTTTCCTCAATGAAGTGAAAATAACAAGCAAAACTTTTTTTATACTACTGGAATTTAACAAGTGAAAAGAGATTAGCCAAGCATTTTTCCTTATTCTAAAATGACTGCATCCAGATACAGTATAAACTGAGTATAAATACAGATATATTATAACACACACATCCCCAGGACCAGAGCTTCATAACTAAGAAATATCGTTTCCAATACTGCGAAGCTCTAGATGAATTTTGATGACTCCAAGTGCAACGTTAGGAAAGTTTTGAGGAACAGAAGTCTCAAACAAGCAGCATTCACATGGAGTGTTTCTATCACTGACAGCCTAACATTAAATGCTTGATTTTTCTGAATTGCTGAATACACCTACACTGGGGTTGCAGATGTCCAATATTCCTGAAAAAAATCAGACCCTGACAGTTTTTGCCTCAGTTTCTCCACCTGTCAGTCAGCACTGAACACGTTCCTCATTCACAAAAGAATTTTGAATTTCAACTAACAGACGTGACGTGTGCAGCAAATGGGAGTCTGCACAACGCATCAGCTTCGGCATTAGATTCTGTCTGTGATGTTTCTCATACGAGGTGTCAGTTGTCCTCTTTCACATTTCCATAGACTGCACTGGCTGCTATGTTTTTATAATAAGACTGCCATTGTATAATATCTGGGAACCCACCACTGTAATAAATTTCACACTTCTGTGCCCAGTGTTTTCAACCAGGCCTGAGGTATCACTACAGCACCAAGCTAAACCTCCACCCTAGGCTGAATACAACCCAGGGGCAGTCATATACAACAGTCATAGGAAAGGGGCAGGTTTCAAAATCCTGAAAAGTGAAATTCTCAGGAAAAAATCCTTTTTGTCCATTTAGTTATGGATTTTTACCAGAGGGTGCTCCATAACTTGCACTAGCAGACATTTCCGAGGATTCATTATCCTGCTGCTGGCAGACGCTGTAGCTCCACTTAAACCAATGGACTGAAGATCTGTCCCTTGTTTTCTAATTAAATTGTGACAGGATACATAACTGACACTTATTCCAAACACCTTTGGAAGCAAACAAGGATTTCTGCAGTAACGCATTGTGTTCTGCAAGGACGATGCCAAGGGAACCACAAGCTAGAACGGCCACCCGGCCAAAAGAATTCTAAGACAGTGTACCCAATGCCTCTGGCTTTACTGTATCATATAACATCAAAAGCTTGGCTTAAAAAAAAACCCAAAACCAGTGTAGCATGTGCCAGGCCCTTCATAAGACCGTTCCAGTGAAGGCCTGATGTTTCACATTGCTCAGAAGAAAACTTAGATAAAGAGTAAGCAGCAAACAGTCATGGTAACCTAAATCCACAGCTAACATATGAGGAATCCTACTTACAGACCATGTTAAATGCTAGCCCTCAACTGTACTGTATAGTCGGAGCCTCTTCCCCCACCACGTGATCCATTGCATTGCTACAGACCATGTTAAATGCTAGCCCTCACCTGTACTGTATAGTCAGAGCCTCTTCCCCACCACGTGATCCATTGCATCGTCCCCCGCAAATACACACATCATGCCCCTCTGTTACATCATGATTCACAAGAAGAAAAATAGGATCCATTGAACTAGTTCAATCAAAGGTGTACTCAAACACTGAACAAGAATCAGTGTATTTCTTTCTCCCTTTCGGCATTCTTCCGTCAAATCCTTACCCAGGAAAGGGGTTTTGAGGCCTCATTTTAACCCCAGTTCACCTTAATATTGAAAATTACCAGGTCACTTTGGATGACCAATGCCAGCAGAAATTTACTTACAAGGAATCCTGACAGGATTTCTGCCCACCTGTCTCTACTCATAGGTATCATCCTTCAAGAGCACTAAATTCATTCAGAACTGTTGCTAAAGCTAGAGTGGGCTCCTCAAGAACTTACAGTTAACAATGTGAGGATATGTACTTATCACCCCCAACTAAGAGAGACAATTCTGTTTGTTATAACAAACACCACCAACAATTCCAACCTGTGAGACATGTCATCTGCCTCACCATAATTCACCAGATAATACACGAATAGTCATCCACCAGAAATAAAGTCATCAGCGCACCAGGGCACTCACCACCCAGGGGAATAACTGCTGTAGAACGGAAAACAGGAAATAGTCTGTCCCACTCAGAGCAGCTATTTTAGGCGCTCCAACTGGCCAAAAGACACAGGGCTCACAAGAGAGTGAACCAGAAGCAAACCCAGTGCCTTCCATATAGTTTAGATCAGAAGTCTTTAAGAGCCTTTTAAAGATGCCAGACGAATCACACAGAAACAGATATTACGGAACACTGGTTATAAATTACTGTTAATATGCAGTGATATTATGGAAGAACAGTGAACAAGAAGTTGTATGTAAACATCCATGCGTGGGAGAGTATAACACTGAACGAAGGCAATGTCCGGATCTAAAATCTAGTATCAATTTTAACTGAGTGTTAGATCACAGGCCAGGTCAGGATTCAGGCTTTTTTTTTTTTTTTTTAAAAAAAGTCCTAGGATGAAAAGAAATCCTGTCATCACCTTGAGCTGAAACCTCACACAGAAAAAGCCCCAGCAGCTTCCAGCCAAATCTGAACCAAAACCAGTAAATCTACACTTCAGAGGCAGCTTCCTAAACAGTATTTAGTTACATGCAATACATATTTAACATGCAGAAACACGTAGTGAAGATTCAGTAGAAGTGGGGCAATTATCTGCATCTTTGGGCAACAAGCTGCCTTTAAGGTCTGGTCTTTCAGAGCTTGTGATTCAGCCCAGAAGTGAAACTATTTGATGGGTTGGGATCCAAGAACCTGAATTTGACATTCAACCCCAAATACAAACATGTTCAGTTATGTCATTCAAAATTTGGTCCATGTCCAAAATGTGTCATTTAAAGAAGCACAAGAGACCCAAGAGCTGCCTGGGGTAGTTAGTTGGGAAACCACAAATCTCACCTCTATCACATGTCGTTTCAGATGCATATATACACACTGTCCTGTTTTCCGGTAATGTCTTTCAACGTGTTCCCTTCCAAATCCCAGAAACGTGCTCATGCACACATAGAGACCTCCTTCAGAATCCTAAAAGGAATGACACAAACAGTTACAGCAGAGAAGGAAGTGAACAGGATAGGAAAGGATCAGCAAGCAAAAAACCAACCCAAGAATTGCAGACCCTGCCTGTTATCAGCCAAGAACTTAAAACATGACTTTCATAGCACATAACAGTGTTCACATTGGCAGCCCTCTAAGAACCATCCACATCATATTACCGCCCGAAACAACTCATTGAAATGGGTTACTTGAAAACTACAGATTAGTGAGTGTCCAAATTGGAGGTCTAGAGGTCAGTCTTTAAAAATTCCACTTGAGCAACCAATCCAAGAGGGAATTGTAGGCGTAAAAAATTGTGAGGCATAGAAACAATGAAGTATAAACATCTGTTTGAAAGGGTAAAACTTTTGGGGGCTGCTTGATTGCAAGAGTAACTTTCCAAATTGGAAGTGATGCAGAACTGATGGTCTGGGTATTCAGACTTCTGCTGTTGATCACAATCTTGTCTCAGAAAATTAGATCTTATGAGTGACCTCACGACTCTGAGAACGGCGTAACGAGGAAATCGGTAAGTATTTTTTAAATGTTTTTCAGTATCTATCAGGGATTCACTCTACCCATGCAATCAGAGTGCTTGGAGGAAAGGGCGCTACAAAGGAAACGTAAAGATACATATTCCTGGTATTGATTACAAAGGCTGGCATTTTGGTAACGTGACCTGGCAAGAGTCCCATTACTTTTTCTCTCCCAAAAGCTGGATGTTGATGCTGGCTGTTATCAGGCAGTTGCTCCTTTGAATCACTGCCAGATCTCTCCTACATCATTCAGATTGCCAGGAGGACATTCAGTCACACAGCCTATAGGCGTTAGATCAATTTTTCAAGTCCTCTTTAGCGCACATTGTTTTGAAGAGATGGTGCATAACAAAGAATGGGCTTTTTAGAAGCACTGTGACTTTCCTTCTATTGTGAATTTGTTTGTGCTGTTGGATGGTACAGAACATCCCACGTTCAATTCATTAAGAACATGAGCTGAACTCATCTATAGACACCTTAGAAAAAAAATATCAGCATCTCTGTAACAAGCCATCAATAGTTTCTAAAATGCATGTGTTAGGAACATACATGCAATTATGTACTGATTGAGAATTGTTACAGCAACAACTGCATATAGAGGTAGATCCTCTATATCAAGAAACAGTGATCAAAACTGTAGTTAGGAAACATAAACACCATTTTTACTTTAGAAACCATCTGATTAACCGAAAGTCACTCAAAGGCTCACAGAAGAGCACAAGCCACCAGACGTGTGCGCACCCAACAACTTTGACCAGGTATTATCCCATACTGCGACACATAAAAGGTACTCAAAAGCCAGGTGTACCTTTCTCCAAGGCTTTGGAAGGCAGCAACCTCTACTCTGCTTCCAACCCCACCCCAGACAGGCCCCACTCTCAGACTGGGCACAGAGGTTCCCATCCTGTCGCACGAGACGCAATGTGAATTAGGCTCTCTCCAATCCTGCAGATCGGAAACACTAGCAGAGGACAGGCCTTACAGAGATCGTAGCTGATTTCCATCACTTTCCTAACCAGCACCTTACTCACAAGTCCCTTCTCTTCCAGAAAAGGGGGCTGACGGGCTGATTGTGTTACGCAGTTCTTGCTCATTTAAGAGCAGACACAAACCAGTTCAGGCCTGACAAGCCTCTCCTCTCCCAGTACTGCCCCAAAAATCAGGTTTGAATGTGCCACTCTAAGCACAGTTAATTCCCCCAATCCTTTTTAAAGACTGCAGTGAGTACTTCTGTTAAACTTGAAAGAATCTAAACTTCCAGCTGATCTGCAACCTTCATCCATACACGAATGCTATTTATTAAGACATGCTTGTTTGTATCAATACTAGGAAAGCCAGGACTGAAGAATTGGCCCCTAAATACCAGTAAACACTGGTTCTTCTGCAGTGGCAAGTGGAAGCCGTGGACCTGGGGAACAAAACAAGAACTAGCAGAACTGGGAGAGGACAGGAAAGGAGGAGAGACCAGAGAATGATATTTGATTGCAAGACTTCAGAAAAATATCCTCGTCTCTTCCGGTTTTCTTAATATGAGCCGAAACAGATGAGCTTTGGCTTTCCAGATTTAGCTGGATGATAAACATATAATGAACCACACAGCCCTTGCTTTACCTACCTCAAAAGGACAAAAAGTTGAACTGAGCACTCCAGGATTCAAATCTGAACCGAAGCAAGTGTTTAGAGTATATGTCATTCAAACCTAATATATACTGTGAAGTCATTCAATCAGCATCTAAATACCACATTGATGGTCCCTCCACAGAGGGACTAGTAAACTGTTTAGCCATCTCATTTCTGACCCACACAACACCCAAGATTCTATTTAAAAAACAACTCCTTTAAATTGGAAATCCTCTAAGCCTTCAGAACAAGGTCAAGATCAACAATTGTGCTCAAAAGTAATAAATCACTTAAAAGAAAATTCCACATCTGGTATTTAAAATACACAAAAAATACAATAACGTTTAAAATTCAGTATATGTATTTTAAAGCCCACACACTCTTACACAGATGTATCTATTTTAAGGCCAGTAACACCTTGGCTCTCTGCTTCTACATCCTGTATTATCCCCTTTTCTGAAAGGGTGTCAAGGATGTTTCTTCTATAAGAGAATCCTGTAGATATCCAGCCTATTAAAAAAACAAACAAACAAACATTGTATTGTCAGTCCAGGGGACTCAGGACCTTTGTTCATAATTTTGTTTTTTTTTTAAAGAGACCATTCTCTCTTTCTTTGGAGGTAATGCAGGATAGCACAGAACTTTTTCTGATAAGCAGCCTACGACAACAATCTGACACTTTCAATATACAAGCTAAATGTAGAATCTGAGTAAGCTGGTTGTGGTTACCAACAAAACAGTTATTTCTCCTGGAGAAAGCAAGCAGGCTATTCTTTCACTCATCCTGCAAAGAAGTGGACACAATGTTCAAAAGCCTAAAGGGTCACAGCAAATCAGGGGCAAAGACCCTCCATCATGTAAAGCTCTCCACCATGCAAGAAAAAAAAAAAAAAAGCCACCCTTTCATAAGGCTGCAAAAAGGATTACACGCCTGTTTGGTGCTCAGAGTACGCTTGGCTACGATCTAAGTCAGGCCTTGTACTGGTGAATTTAACCCAACTGAGAACACAACCAGTTCTGGAAGGAACAGTATTTCTACATAGCTGTGGCATGGAAATCTTTGCAATTGATGTTCATTTTAAAAACATGTGAATCTTTACACTGGAGAAAGCCAACATAACTAAAGTACTGAAGACCCTATTTTATACCACAAAAATATAACTTTATGTTGTGAGACACAGAGGCAGGAATTTTAGCATTTTTTTCTCTCACCTCAGCACGTAGTGGGATTAGTACAAAGTTTAGGATAGAGTAACGTACAGACATCGTCTTCTCTCACTAGTCCACTCTCAATATATTATCAGGGCAGATGCTTGTATTTACTACTCTGTCTACAGGCCTTAATCCCTATGCAGAAAGCCCATCCACTCAAGAGCAGACCAGTCTTCTTACCCTCCAATCAGAAGGAAACGTGATTGCTCTTCACTGCATGTCTTCCTGGTTTTTGCTGCTTAATAAAGCATACTGTGGCTAGGAGTATTTAATAGAGAGGGAGACATACTGTCCACATCAGAGAGGAAAGTATTTAAAAAAAACACACACACAGCTCTTTTGACTTATTTAGATAATATTTTATGTTTTGCAAAGCTAGGAGGAAGAAGCAAAGGGATGAGGAACCTGCAGAGACAGATTGCTAGAATACGACAGTCACCTCCTCTCAGCCTTGAAAGGGAAAACAGAGCAAGGAAGCTGGTGGATGAGAGAGCTGGCAAACACACACACCAGCGTACAATGAAACTGAGTGACATGAACATCCCGCTTCACACGTTCATGGCACTAGACACTAATAGCTTTCAAACACTGCTAACCTGATCTAGACTTGAACTAATAACCTGTATCCTGTTACCAATTTCTCGAGTCATTTAGTACCCTCAGGGAAATGCAGGGTTTAGCAATTTCAGTTCCTGACGTGGCTCAGACAATAATGAATTTATAAAAGACCTATTGCGATGATTTATCTACTAACACGGCAAACAGTTACAGACTTGGGAGCAATGTCTGCAGCACAGCTGTTTGCTTCAGATCCACTAGAACAATGGTACAACTTACTAATAAAGGTATCACAGAAGGGAGTAAAATGGCATCTCTAGTCTTCATGGGCCTCCATACCCCAAATATAAAGATTTAAGTTTGTTCATCCCATCACAGACAATATAAGAAGCCCCACTTACAACAATGGGTCAGTCACTGGAACCTCAGTATTCTGCAGTATGTTTCCATAGAAGTGCATCCAAAGACAATGACAATATAGAGTTACTACAGGCTCTATTCAGAGTATTCACCGGTAATTACCATTATTAACACAAGACTCCTGTTGTATAACTACAAGCCAATCTTTAACCTATTTGGAAAAGTTACAAAAACATTCTTAACATACCCATACTGCATTGAATCCCACAATAGTGTAACTAAATGACAGGCCTTTTATTATGGGACTCTTCAGAAGGCTAAAAAAGAACAACAAGTTTCAGCTACGAATATTCATCTGAACAACACATAATAATTTACAACGTAGAATAAAAAGAAAGCCCGTCTGTCACGCACCAATACTACCGACAGTGAAATAGTGAGAAAAAAACACAGCCAACTGAGTGAATGCAGGAGCACATAGAAGTCACCCTGGCACAAGAGATAGTCCACTTCCAAGCTTCCACCTTTTTTTTGCTGAAGGCCAGGAATCTATCTAGCCACATTCAAAAAGACTATGGAGTATGCATGTAGGCATAAGTGTGCCTTTTGGACAACTGTCCTCTTTCACCCAAAAGTGACAAGAAAGCAATGGCAAAAAAAGGAAGAGGAGAAAATGAATAGTAAGAAGAGGGTAAAACTGGACACCTGGCAAAAAGGAGGAGAGGAGAGAACCAATAGAGAATAACAGAAGATGATAGACATACACAAGTATTGGCATTAAAAAAAAAAAGTATGAACAGTGAAAAGGAGCCATGAATTACTGGAATTTGTGAAGGAGAACAGATAGGAAGAGAAGAGCTGGGTCAGGCAGAAAAAGAAAGGACAAATGATCTGGCAGGAAGGAAAAAAAGAACAGGGCTTCCAGTAACTAGGCTTCTAGCTACAAGTGAAAAAAGAAATCCCGGGCCTTTCCTCCCCTCACCCTTAAAAACAGAGGGAAAACAAATATCAGAGTTACTATTTTATCACACTGTTGTGATAGCAGTATGCAAAACACCGAACAGCTTGAGGAAAGAAAACACCACTGAAATCAAAAATGAATCAGGATTCTGGGGTTCAGATGTCATGCGGAAAACTAAAGAAAGTTACAGCAACAAATATATTACAGTTTTGCAAGGCTACCCTCAAAGTCTTGGATTAAATGCAATTTACTAGGCATTACGCAGCATATTTCCCTAAGAGCACATTATTTTATGATTGCTTAACAAAGATATCTGTTATCTCGCTTGTAGCTTCTGATACCGGACACTCTTGGAGATGGGCACATGGACACAAGTCTAATCCAGTGCAGCATTTCCAACATTTCATTTGAAGAAAAAAGCCACCAGGGCCGGTCAGACACTAAAATGAAACCAAACCACCATTCTAAGACACAGCTCTAGATGTCATTCACGTACTCAAGCCACGTAGAATTCCAGACCAGGATCCTGAAGCAGCGTCAGGTACGCGTCACATTCACAGCAGCAGCAGCAACAAGGCTTCGAGGCAAGTGTGCAGATACGATGACAAAACTAACATGAGGTCTTGGGTACTTGTGACCTGCACCAAGGAATAGGACACTTGCATCCAGCAGTCAGCCCTGTTTGTGATCATATTATCCAGGTGTGATTTGGGTAGGCCACTGACAGAGACAGCTCAGATCCAACAGGGCTTATTAGCTCAAGCCTAGTACCACAACTCAAGCAATGCCACCTGTACTGCTCCCACGGCACCTTACATTTAGAGGCTGATTGATGATTTTTGCATTGTGCAGAGCCCTAGCTACACAATTCTGTTGATCACAGAGCTAACACTGCGTTTCCAGAATAGAAGAGGTCACAGGAAACCTAATGGCGCTCCACAGAGACTCAGCAGAGCTCCCAGTGGGTTATCAGCTCATCTGCATCTCTGTATTTACTCTCCAGCACTCCAGGTACCTGACTATCAAAGTCTCGCCACTATCCAAAATATTCCAGCCCATCATTACTCTGGTAACAGCAACTTAGCTAAAGTTCACTCAGTCATGGAAGTGGACAGAAAGGCCAGTTAGATCCAGATTTAGATCAAACCCACACAAGTGTACTATGCACACGCTCTCTCGTTGTTCTTCAAAGACGCATGGTATTTTCTCATTTATGAAAAACTGCAAGTACAATTGTCACTGATTTAACAATTCTCTAGCTTTGGAAGACTGGAAATAGCAGGAACAATTACGTTCACCCTAGTGTCCTAGTGCATTCCTGCAAGAATGCCTGCAAAGAACTCACCTATCAGGCTTCCCAGCACTGTCCTCGGATGCAACAATACAGTGCTGCTCGGCTTTTATGGATTATCACCCACCACCAAACACCTGCATAAATAATTTGGAGGTTATTTTGCAACTAAGACAAAATAATTTGCCTGGAATACTCAGTTTGCCTAGATGTTTTCAATCCTCTTTTTCTTCCTCGCTGCTGCTCCCATCCCATCAATATAAACAAGATATCTGCCTATTCTTCCCAGTCAGAGGCCCAGAGACTTTCTAATTTTCTTCAAGGGATATTGGCTAAAGGAACAGCTAGATAGGATATATTTACTGCTAGAAAATTACACGCAGCATGGTCACTGATGCCCATTACGCATTGCAAACTCTCAAGGATTTCAGTCTCAACTGTACTGTCTGATAAACAGCAGAGCATCAGCACAGTTTAAGCCTTTGGGAATTGTCCTAACATAACCATTACAAACAAACAAACAGCCACAAAAATGAAGTTAGCAAGATCCACACAGGAAGCTTTTGTCAGTAGCAAGATTTTCCAGCAGTGTGAAGCCAAGTTTTAAGCTGCTCAAACAAACACAATCCTGTGATCTACAGAAACCAGACTGCTTGGTCCTATAGCTGTGTTGGACTCACAACCTGTGCTGTAGTTGTAACATCCAATGCCCTTCTTGCAGAAGGTTTCGGAGCATATCCACATGCATAGTCTGCACACAAGCCATTCTTATACACCAGTTTGTATCCCTTTTCTGGCAATCATCTCTTCCTCCGGTATATGTCTGGTCTTAAATGAACAGAGGTTTTGGGGAGAGGGATCCCATTTACAGGTGGAATTTCCCACTGAATCCTAGACTCCTCTACAGATAACAAGCTCCGCAGTGGATAAAAGATTATGTAAATACAGTCTTTCTGCTTTCCATGTTCTACTGAACAATACAAAGTCAAGTTCAGCTGCCAACAAAGGAAGAGAGGTTGCAGCAGACAAAATAACAGAGAGAACAAACCTGCATCGGAGCGGCACAGATACAGGATTAAAAACAAAAAAAAAAATCACCAGAAGGGACTGTGCATCCGGTTTCAAGAATGAGAAGTACAGGATTTAATAATTCAATTTGTCAGAAATTGGTAAGCTATTACAGCTTCTGGGGCCAGTCACCAGAGGGAGCAATACTCACACCAGACTTTGCTTGTATTTTGTAGGCTGCCTTTCTTCCCTTCTGAATTCCAGTATAAAGAATCAAAGGTTAATTGGAGTAGAAGCCCTCATCAGGCAAACAGTTTTTCTAGAAGCCATCAAAAAAAAAAAAAAAAAGAGTAATTAAAAATCAAGTCATATAAAGGCACATTTTCTAATCTTCTGAGACTAGCAAAGTAAAAACTGTCAATAAGGCTCTCGAATGCACAGAAACTGTCCTCCTGTTCCTCCCAACTTTCCTGGGAACTAACTCTAGTACGTTTTGTTAGAAATAGGTCAAATCTAAGGACATAAATTTTAGATTTCAGAAAAGCATTCAGTTGACTCTCTCATTCATGTAGCGGCCCTTTTAACGATGCTACTTTTTTTGGTGCTAGCGTTAATCCACACGGAAAAAAATACATCGACTATCCGCTTGTACCTCTCCTACGCTTACATTTCCGAAATCTCAAAACTAGTGACACTAGTCAACTGTAGCACAGTTCAAAGTTGCCATTGTCCTCTGATCTTTACACAGGGGAGATAAGATTTAAAACTCACTGAAAGAGAATGGTGAGTCAACAGATTTTGAGAGAGAGCAGTGAAACTGCCTCTATCTACTAGAACATGGATCCTCAGTGACACTATTCTGGTCAAATCCGGACAAGACGACACAACCAACAGAGGCTGACAAACAACTCTGCGAAAGCAACACAGGGCAGCGTATTTCAACTCACAGAACAACAACTGAAAGATGAAGCCACTTGCACACAGTACCTCATTTTCCTTAGCACCCCTTGACCAAACCACTCTGGTTTTGACTATCCCGCTCCTCCTCGTCTTTTTCAAAACGTTGGGAGAACCTTTCTCTATAATAATAGCACTTTGCACCCTAATACCCATAGATCTGGCAGTGTTTAGTGTATTTTTAAAGACCACAATACCTCCTTGCAGAGAAGGACTAATTTTACAGACAGAGAAACTTGAGTACAGAGATGCTCTGTGACTGGGCATATCACTTAAGAAAAGTGCATACAAAAATTAGTTGACCAAAGTATTAAGTTCCAAAATACTCAGGAAATTTACTTGCCTGAATAGGAAAAGAATCAAAGGTAAAGCTTGAGAGAGAGTTTTACGGTGTTAATGGAATAAACTACTGAAATAAAATCTGGTATTGAAGAAGAGTGACAAAACAAAACATCTTGCCTCGAGCTGACTCGAAACAGAGAAGAGCTGAACAAAGAACATACTCGAAATGGCAAAATGAGGAGATGCGAGGACGTACTGAGAAATAAGCTTACAATGGAAAACACCTTCCTAGTCGACCAAGTTATCTTGAATTTTACTATAGACAATAAACCCCAGAGGACATGCTTTTAACATTTATCATTTACTTTAATATTATAGGGGAGGAAAAAAAAAACTGCGCATCTTTCAAAAAGAGGCAGACACCTCAATAGGAATTCACTCACTTAGGCTATACGTAGTTGACCTCAGAAAATAAGTCACTAAGCCAACCTAATACAAAGCACACTGAGATAAATCCCTTTTTTTAACCAAGGGGACAATCTGTCTGTATCCTTCTTTCACCTTCTCTTCTGGGCGGAAGACTGTAAAAATAAAGTTTTGCTGTTTTCAAATTTGTAAATGATGGTGTTTTACCCCCAAAAGCACACGTTTGTCTTTTAGAACCAGCTATCCTAGAAACAATATCCAAATATCTGTTAGGTTACATGGGAATAACGAATACATTTTCTGGAGACAAGTCTTTTACCCAACCAAGTCAAGGACCAGTACAGGCTGAAAAGCCGTGGAAAACTAGACAATGGAAATAGAGCATAATATAATTTTTACTGGTATTGCATGAATTCAGTCAGAGCCTTTTGCCTAACGAATACCTTTCAACAAAAAGTCTCTAATGGCCAAGGCCAACGTTTTCAAAACCTGACTCTCTTGCCAAAAAAGTGAATGGGATGAAACAGTTTTGAAAATCGCACTTGGTGATTCTAGCTCCTTTTCCTATGCTTATATGTAGCTTTTGTTAAGCTTATTTGAGCTTTCCTCAAATACTTTATGTTTTGCTCCAATATATTGTTTTGCTTAAAGAAAAAAAAAGTTTCGCTGTGTTTATTTGACATCTGTTGCAGGGAGGGGTGTTGATTAATGCTTTTTAATCTGTAACAGAATTTGATATCTCTTCCTACTGGTTAAAGGAAACTTTTTATAGACCATAAGGTCCAAGCCACCTGAAAGTATTATTTCTAGTGTTCACCCAAGCAAAAATTTCAAGAAAGAATTGTGGTATATTGATTCCCCCCCCAACCCTTACTTAGTATATAATGTAATTAGCGCCTCTGCAGTAGAGTCTGATTTGGCAATTTTAATCAGACCGCCTGCCGGTACAGCCAGGGCTGCTAGGTGACACTTGAGATCTGAAGAGTGCGGGTAAAAATAACCTCTGTTCAACAAGACATGATGAACACCAGACAGCTGAGTCACCTTTGAAACCAATTTTGATTTTTTTGCATTAGAGGAAAATATTAAAGAGAGAGGGATAACATGCTCAAAAGTCCATCTCAAACATATCTTTAATTGACTATCCTGTCATGTAAACACTGAGCTTCCTTCAGATTGCTGTCATTAACTTTAACTTTACAGCAATACAGAGCGCTCAGTCACCTTTGAGAAACCTCAGCCTAATGTAGAGAAGCAACCTTTAAAAAAATTTCAGCTCCATTTAAAAAGTGCAATTTCTAAACACGTGTTTCCTACACAGTATCCACTCACTATTTATTAAGGTTTCCAATGTTTTCAGCAAAGTTAAAAAACGAGTAGGGCCTCAAATCTGCAACACAATACATGCATTTGTGGAGCTTGCGGATGCTTTGCAAGACAACTATAACATCATAGAAAGTTACTACGCATCAAACATTCATTTAACAACAAACTAAATAAGCTAGTGAGGAAATACGCGTTCTTTGAAGTCTAGTGACCTAACCAAAACGCCAGGAGGGAAAGTATTTCAGGAAGACTTTCACACTGATTTTCAGGTTGAACTTCTTTGAAGACTTCCTTAAAAGATCGTCAACAGGAGGATAAGCAGTGATACGGTAGGCAAGCAAAACCATTGGCTTTTTCCTAGCCAAAAACATGCGAACGAGAACGTCAGCTCCTTCTGCTTTTTACTATCTCAGTACCAACCTGAAAACAAGGGTTACACAGGGAGAGCATGCCCACCCTGGAGAACCAGAAACGATTTCCCAGGCGATAGAAAAGTTCCCTAGAAAACAACAACAGAAACCCCACAGAAGCCAATACTAGCGCTGCATACAAGCTGGCGGCGACGTGCTTGTCAGAGGAGTCCTCAGCTGCGACAGAGCGCGGACACATCCCGCCATCCCGGCGGGGCCCAG